AGTGCCAAAGCGGTTATGGATCTCAGTAAAGGTCGATCTGGAATCGGGTACCGAACATGCATGTGGGTGGAACTGTTGGTTTAAATCGTGAAAACATGAAATGTGGAGCGTATATGTTGGTTTGTCTACAATTGTTCGTAAACATGTTACAAGGCACAATTCTTCACAGATTTTGACAAAATTTGATTAAATATAGAATCAAAGATTTGAAAAGTGTTCAATTTTTAGCGTGTAAACACTTTATAAGGCACAATTCTCAACAGTTTTTAAAAATTGTAACTTAATGAAATTGTTTATTATCACCCAAGGATGATACAAAATCGAAAAAAATATTATATGGGTTTATGCACTTGTTTTTGAAAACACTTTCAATTTTTTTGCTTTTGAGTTATTGCCCTTGACTTATTCAAAACGTGTCAAAATTTGTTAGTGACCACAAAGAGGTCTACGGTTTTGATCCAATTTTAATGAAGTTTGGTGTGATCATTTATCATGATAAGGTCTTGGTCATTACAAATTTGATGATTTTTTCGATAAACATATATTGAGTTATCAGTTTTTTTGTTTCGGAGGCACAATAGAAACTTCAATTTTAGATTAATATTAATGAAATATGGTGTGATAATATAACAGTTTTGAGTTATTGCCCTTGACTTAGTAAAAACTTGGCAAAATTGTTTAGTTTCTACAATAAAACGAAAATTTTCAAAGAATTTGGATGAAAATTGGTCTGATCATTTATGAGATATTGGATAATTACAAATTTGATTTTTTGGTAAACCGTTTTTGGGTTATTGCCCTTGACTTGGTAAAAAGACACGTCAAAATTTGTTTGTGAGTACAATAGAAGCTACAATTTTAAATCAATTGCAACTTGGGGTGATCATTGGAATTGAAGTTCTTGAGTAAGGAAATGATTGTTTTAGCAATGCACGTTTTGAATCTTGACAGATTAACCATTATGACTTATGCTGCTCTTAATTGAATCTAACTATTAAACACATTTGCTGTGTGGGTGTTTGGTCATCCTTGAAATAGGATGTTCTAATTAAGTATTATTGCCCTAGATTTGATGATAACTTTGTCATTATGAACATCTTCAAGGGGCATTTCGCTTTTTTTGTAAAACATTTTCATTATCAAAAACATCGTAAATTATACCTGAAAATATTCTAAAATATGCTAATTTTGTCTGTGTATCTACTTGATCAAACTGAATTTGTTTTAAAAGGGTTAATTTAAAACAGAGTACTAATTGTTAATTAAGCAGTTTGACCTAGTTTCGGTGATCGTCTTTATAATGGCTCGTTATATTCAGTTAAAATCTTCAGAAAATATGGAGATATATTTCTCTACAATTATGCATTTATTTTATTCATATTCGTACAGTAGTTTTCTAACAGCTTGCAAAAGTGATAACAAACTTTAAAAGTTTACGTAAACTTTTAGGTAAAGCTTTGGTATTAAAAGTTAACCCCTGGATTTTTTCAGTTAAAATTTTCAGATACGTTATGGGATACATTTCTATAGATTTTGGTTTATGTTTCTATGCCTGGCAAGCTATCTTTGCCAAGGCTTTCAACTATGTAAACTAGGATCCTCTTACCAGCTGGTTTTTGGATAATAAATGAATAAAGAGGAAAGATTAAGATTGGATTATTGAACATATGAAGGAAATGAATGAAACATAGTGACAAGCAGGTCACTGTATCAAAGGCTCAATGATATCTGACTTGTAAACACTTGATAAATCGAATACCACCAAGCATGGTGACAAGAATAACGGTCTACTGTACCAAAGGTCCAATGATGTGGGACTCGTACATACTTGATTAATTTACGACTTCTGGCAATAGGCTATTGTATCAAAGGTTCAATGATACCAAACTCTTAAGCACTTGACAAATCTAAACTTATGGCAACTGTCTTCTGTATCAAAGGTTCAATGGTGTCAGACTCATAAAAACTTGATATATCCAGCTATCCAACTATTGACACCTGCTTTAATTGAATTAAAATGTTTATTTTCAGCCGTTAGGTCTGCGGGAACTCAATAGCTGTCTTTACTATTGGGTTTGACATACACCACACACAGTTAGATGATCAACGTAGCACGGTCAGTATACAAAGTTTTATAAATTCCACTTTGGCGTCACAAATGTCTATCAGTCTGTGAAAACTTCAGAAGGCACGATTCTTGATGGATTTTGACAAAACTTGGTGTTTTTATTATCTTTCATGGATGGACACTATTGAAGATCAAAAATATGAGTTATTGCCCTTGTGTTCGAAGTGTTCAATTGTAGCATGTAATTACTTAAGAGAACAGATTTATACCAAATTATCAATATTTGAAAGACAAAATAGTGCAGAAAAAATGTATGACGAATTGTTGAATATTGACACGGTGATTGTTACTATTTTTCGAAATATTTTAATTTGAAAATAAAGCTGTCAGTGGTCATATATTACCTTGTCTGGAAAGCTTTCTTTGATTAATTACAGTATCTATTAATTGAGCTTTATACTGTATAACCTGATTTCCCCTTGTTAATGATACAGGAGGCGGACATGGAGAAAGATTCTAGTCATTTGGATGTGACAGTAAACCGGTGTGCTACAGACTGTGTATGATAAAAATCCTTTGACATTTCGAAATCGAAAAAGAGCAGGCTAAAGACTATTGAAATCCATGTATGTCCAGAATGATCTGTGTTAGAAAGATGATTGCCATTTATTGAAAAGAAATATATAGAAAAAGAAATGCCCAGCTATTTTTGAAGGAATTAGCATACATATCTAGCACTTCTGAAGACTATTTACATATATTCAAGACCCAAATCAACCCCCGAAATAAAATAAAAATTCCTGTTGTTGCTCTTCCAGGGTTCCAAGAACAAAGTAGCTGGTCTTTAGCTACAACAGGACATTTAAACTGGGAGGTCAATTAGGTTATGGTGGAGCACAAATGTCCCAAAGGCGACTCTTGGAACAAAGCTAGGTAAGGATATTTGAAATATTTCATATGGTATTATATAGCAATACGAGTCAAATTGTTTATACTGTATTTTTCAAAGTAAGAAAGGAATGTGAAAAGGATTTCCAGGAATTTATAATGTGTATCTGTTTGCACCATTTTAGTTTACAAGCTAAAAAGTGGCTTTCATATGTGGCCAAAGGTAACAAATTTTGAATTGAATTATTTAAAACTTGGAACTGATAGATAGATAGAACTGAATAGATTTTCAATTTTCAATCAGACTTTTGTTGTTCCCCAATACACCTAAAAAAAAATATCTTGACACAATCCCTTTTATTGTTGGTAAATCTGCTGTTGTATGAACTGTTTTTGAATTGTCCTTAATTAAAAAAAAAATGACAACATTTTTATAAACTTGGTATTGATATGTTTGAAATATTTATAATTTTAGGTGTTAACAGATAGAGCTTCACTACATGGAATTAAAGTGCTTATGGTGTGGCACAGAAGTTCGCAAGGCAAGTGTGTAATTCTTATCCCTGACCATTTAGAGTCCTCGATCCTTTGCCTGGCTAAAATAAATTTATGCTTGAAGGGGTTAACAACTTGGTAACTGTGTAAACTGCAATAAGAGGCTGTGAGCTTAAATCTTCTTTAAGGTTTATAAACTTATGATGCCACAACTGCTTCTTCTTCCAAAATTCAAAGCTGTGTCAACTTTAAATATCAACTAGATGTCACTTGGTACCATTGACCATTTGTGCTTGACTTTAAAGAAAAAATTAAGTATATTTTGTGTCTGATATTTAGGTTAGAAAAGGTAAATCGTCTGGTAATTTACCTTCCCGCAATAGCACTGCCACAATAGGAGTGTTCTGAGGTCATGGTCTGTATGACTCTTCAGAGCTCCTATTCACAGATGAAGAGGAACAGATGAAGAACAGATGAAGAGGAACAGATTGGGCGATTCCTCCACCCATTTTTTGTAAGTTTATCATAGATCGTGATGTTTTGAAATTATAGTACCATGATATTATTAGCTGTGTGAATTTTCAGAAATATATTTCATTTGCAAAATTCAGTGGATTCAGTATTCCATGGATCAATAACCATGCCCAATAAACCATAAATAAATAGAATAAGTCCTCAGCTACAAAATTATATGGTATTTTGACTCAATACAATGTCTTTTGTTTTTTTCAGCCGCCGGCGGGAACTCGATAGCGGTCTTTACTATTGGGTTTGACATACACCACTTACAGTTAGATGATCAACATAGCACGGTCAGTACCTACCTACATATATCAATTTAAATCACAATTCCTGTTCTGTGAAATTTTGTGAAACCCAGCCTGAAAAATTCTTGTTCATTTTCTCTATCCCTTGAAGGTGCACTGGAGCATTAATCTTGAAAACTGAACTTACGATGATTTTGGTGTTCCAGTCATCTGATTGATCTCTTAAAATCCATTTCAAGAACAAGCCCCCTGCTGTGGAATGAAAAAGCAAAAACTACCATGAGATCTTTCTATCTTAAATGGGTGCATGTTTGATAATTCCATTGGCAGAGTGGTGTTACAAGAGGCATGACTTGCCTGGCTAATGACAGACACCACAGTAAAAAGCTTTAATTCAAAAAGTCATTTAGTCTCGGACGCAAGAGCTTAAAACTAATCAATTCAAGAGTGACCTTTGAAAATTGATTGTCCATGAGCAGATATATTGGCCAAATAATGTTATTCACATTTGATATACATAGTTAAAGAGGTAGTTTTCAAGATTTTCATTATCAGGTTACTTTTAGATAGCTTTAATGTTATAGAATTAACAGAAAGATTTTTTGGCTTAAAACTTCCAGATAAGGCAATAGATATATTCCTCTAATCTGTGGTCTGAAGTATTGATTACTGTTTGCAATTAACCTACTTTTAAAATAAGAATCATTACTTTTAGGGTTCCAAGAACAAAGGGGCTGGTCTTTAGCTTCAACAGGACATTACATTTGGAGGTCAATACGGTTATGGTGGAGCACAAATGTCCTAAAGGCGACTCTTGGAACGAAGCCAGGTAAGGATATTTTAATAGCTATCTTGGATATGATGTTGCTATCCAAGTCATTATAAACACACTGTAAATATTACATTTAGCAACATAAGATTATTTTTTGGAAAACCTTACAACACAAACCCAAGTTTTTATATGTGTCCTTACATTCACCTTTGTATATTATCATAAGATTCTTCTCACTGGTCTTCGGTCAGATCTATTGAAATTGATCTCATGACCACCATTGTTTGGACTTAACTAAACAAGTCTCCTGTAATGTTTCCGAAGCTCTAATACGCTTGTTACTGAGTAACGGACTGTTCCATAGAATCCATCAACTGTTTGGATTGATGTATTTGTTGAATTATTTCATTTGTGCCATATCAAAGAATTAAGTTGTATATTTTTAACTTTAGGTGTAAACAGATAGAGCTTCATTATACAGAAGTCAAGTGCTTATGGTGTGGCACAGAAGCTCGCAAGGCAAGTTTGTTTTAGAAGTATTAATCTGTAATTT